TCCGTCACAGACGCCAGGAGACCCTTCTGTCTGTCCGATACGAACACAGGTTTCCACGCCGAGACGTCTTGAAGCGCGTCTTTCATGTTCTGCAGGAACCAGCTCCAATGAGTAATCCTCTTGATCGACAATAGCGAGTCCGAAAACTAGGATGTGGCTGTGGTGTAGCGGGATCGGCCAAAATCTGGTGAAGATCGAATGTATTGCCGTGACGCGGGGATAGGTTGTGGAGCAGCGCGGGAATCTTCGCTCTGCGTCCGAGTATACGCTCCGATCGAGGGTTGTTCGCTCCGATCGGTCGGCCTGGAGTCGATCCACGGCCTGTAGTTGCCTTTCCGGGTGTGTTCCTTCCTTTCGTGAGTTGCTTGCCGCTTCCTATAGCGGGATCGAGGTTGATCGAGAGGAGAAACGATCGCCGGCCAAGCAGTATCCGGTCGATCGAGGGTTCGCACACAAGAAATAGATCGCTAGAGTAGGTCAAGCTGGCCAATGTATTAATCCAGTCTTAACCGTACCACTAGCTCACTGTCCAAAGTGTCGATGCTTGCCGAGGCCAATGTAGTTCCAGGGACTTGACGACTTGAGGGACTTGTGCTCTTCGGTGCAAATTCTGCTCTGATTTATGTTTAGCTGGTGTCTCGCTACCACTACCATCTCACCTACCATCCTACAACTAAACAACTACTGGATTCTTGTCCTGGCTTCGCCCCCATGTGCTCCCCATCTTGGCTGATCGGCGATCGACGATCGACGATCCACAGCTCTCGATCGCGATCAGTCCACTTCGGTCTTCAGCCGTCCCACTCTACGATGTCGCTCGTTGATCTTGCCCTCGTGCATGACGTCCTTCGCTTTCGACATGCGCCCTTCGCACCGCGCCTCTTCGATCGGTGCATCACCACTCTCCATGTGTCGATCAGCTTTGATCTACCTGGTTCCACACCCCGCCTACGTGCGAGTATCATCCCGGTGCCTCGATCGCTCGTCGAATCTCCTCGATCTCCGCAATCCCAGTCTTGTTCAGGTCGCCCTTCTCTCGATCATTGATCCCCTTGATTTTTGGTCGATCGTTTATGCCGCCTTTCTCAGAGAACAAATCTTGTTCTCGCGCTTCTCCACATGGCCTTTTAGGTCCTTCGTGGTCGCCAACAGAAACACTCCGCGCTTGTTCATATCACCCTTGAGATGTGTTCCGTCCAGGCCGATGACGTGTCGGCAGTGTACTTGAAGGCATGCCCCTAGAAAAACGCAAGCCCTTCTGAACATGTTATTCTCGCGCCTGCCAAACCCGTAGCTTGTCGTTGAGTTCGCATCACTCACCATGGCTAGATATCCCTCCAGCTTCTGGTAACTCCCGACGACGTCGTCGCGCAGCGATTCGAGAAGATCCCGCTTGATCTTGGATGCCGCAGTTCGGTTCGTTATCATCCCCTTAGTCATCAAAAAGTCGATGATAGCCCGCCCTGTGCCCGAGGCCCACGTTCCGCTGTAAGAGGGGAGCAACTCACGCTCAACGACGCCCCTCATCACTCGGTAGGGCACATCGCGAAGTCGCTGACGAGAGGTATCTCCTGCGAGACCGCCTTCAACAAAGGTATCGCCCTGAAAACCGCCGTGTCTGAAGTGGTCATGGGCCAGACACATCCTTGTTATCTTCCAGTTGTTGCGGATCCCGTACACCGTAATGAAAAATGGGCAGTTGGCAGTGCTGCCTGAAATGAGCTGCTGCTGCCCTTTCACCGCCTTGCAAGTGTACTTGGCGTTTCCTTCTTGACGACGAGAGTGATAGCTGTTGTTGGCCACGCGAATGGAAAAGCCACGGGCTCGAGCAAACTCGTGACAGCGTTGCAGCAGAGCCTTTTTCGACTCAAGCGTCACAGACGCAACGTTGTTCCCATGGTCGGAAACTACGCCGTAAGAAGAGGGGTCGAGGGGATCCAAGCCGACATCTAGCTCAGGTCGTAGCATGCGCATCTCGATGACTTCGGCGATGTCCGCTTCTTCGACAGCGGATGAGGTGATCATGGGCGAAGACATTGTCCGGGTGACCGAAACAGGAGAGGTGGTAGAGGTGTTGAGGCGTGTAGTTGGGTGGGTATCCGACAAAAAGACGAATGAGCCCTGCAGTCAAAACTCGCGAGCTAAGAGAACACAGGCTAAACGAGGTGGTTATGAAACTCCTACAGAGATGTGTTGCTAAGCTCCGGCCCAAGATACTGAAAAAAAGTATGAACGTCCGTTTCAAAATGTACGCCAAGAAGCTCAGAATACCGCGAAGTGAGATGCTCGGAATGCCCGTCCGTTTTAAAACTTACGAGTCGTAAGTTATTGCTGTCGTACGTTACAATAAACGTAAGAGTACTTAACAGAGGCGTGGCCTGCTCAGAATGCCCGTCCGTTTTAAAACTTACGAGTCGTAGGTTGTTGCTTTCAGACTTTTCAACAAACCCAACTGTACTTATCAGACGCGCGGCCGACGAAGTTTTAATACAGAACCAAGTGCGTTAGTTTGGTCTGCGTGCATACAATTCTACGAAGCGATGATGTAAACTTACACATTAGCATTACGACACTCTTACTCTAAAAAGGTAATTTCGTACGATATTACTTGGCCCTGGAAAACAGTTATTTTTGCCCATAAAATTAACGTTCAATTCGGATATGATAAAACGTTATTTTTGACTGTGGCAATCTACTTGCAAATTGATGCATTCACCTACTTAGACTTTTACAAAAAGGCTTCAATCTACTTGAAACTTAATTCCTCGCGCGTATGTCATCTCCTGCATGATTTAGCACATCCAGCATGGATTAGCATCCTTTTGGCACTTTCCGAAAGTGCCATTTCCGAGCCAAGCTGGCTTCGAAACACGACTTCAAAGCCACTATGATTTACCACTAAGTACGAACACTATCTAGTGCACTAATTAGGAGGGAAAACCGGTTGCAAAGCACAATATCATAGAGCACATATATATCATAGAGCACACTTTCGATTATCCAATGAAAGCCATATAATTCACACTTGAAATAAGACATTCAATCTCGGAGCCTGATAGCCGCGCTCGTTGCGTTACGCCATTTTGACTGGCGCGAACAGGTAGAACGCGCTTAAAAAGTGAAGGTGACGCGCGGCCAAAGCAGTACGAGCGCTCGTTGCGATTACTTAAGTACGTACGAGTTCAAGCTGTGTGTGCTTCGATTCCTAGACACTACACCGATGGCAAAAACGGTAGCTAACGGAAAACGCCAATTTGTATACCGCATACTATTGAATTGAACACTTGTCAAATCTAGAAAGATATACAAATAGGAAGGGGGTTATACTACCAAAGTAGCTCCGACGCATTCAAGTCTGAAATATTGTGTGTAGAGCTAGCTACGTTCTGCAAAACCTCTTTGATGGCATCCTGCCAACGTATGTACCAGTCTTCAAACCATGGAGACATCCATAGATTGCGCAGAGTTGGTTCACAACGTCTCTCATGCCGTTAGATGCAAGCAGAACTTAGACCAACAACCAAAACCATTTTTCTTTGGGTACCTTACGGTAATTTTGCGTAAAGTTACACAAAATGCAAACAGTACCGAATACAAGTGTCAGTTTTTAAACTGTGGTCTTTAAAAAGATAAAAAATAACCGGATCTTGCTTGCCGTATTTGACAAAGTAATACTTATACGGAAAATAAAGGGTGATTTTCAATTTTAAGACATCTCTTAGCCAATCAAAAGATGTTTACATGCTAAACTTCACATAAATTTCAAGAAAATTATAAGTACTCAACGTTCTATACGGTTTGGTTGAGGTATACAAATTGGCGTAGGTACAATAGCTTTGTATACTGAGCACATTCTATCAGATTTGAGAGGAGGTATTCAATTCGGGAAGGGTACGCTATTTGGCGCTATCCGTTAAGTATTTTCCTGACGGGAAGGTGATTCCCTTCATTTCATTTTCATCCGGGCTTCAGGAACAAACTTTGCCAGGAGGTCTTTCACCGTCTTGGCCGCGATAGTTTCCGCCAGATCGAAGGTCACTCCAGGAATCTCGTACACGTCCATGATCTTCGTGAATATTAACCCTATCGTTAACGCCATACATTTCTGTTTGAAGGGACACCATACAAACTTTAAGTAAAACGGGGTAAAATGATGCATGGGGTATCATTTTGCTGTATTAGGTTTGCGAGGCCAACTGATCAAAAGTATACGTGATGGGAGGTTTGAAGCGACCTTTCGATCAAAAAGATACGTGAGGCATCATTTTACTGCTTCTCTGTGATTCGCTGCGAATCGACAAAAGTATCAGTGGAAGCAGTACCGTGAGAACAGCACCCTAACAAAACTTTAGTAAGAGCAGTACCGTGGATCACAGCGCCATCTTGTGGATTATGTGGGGCTTTTCCTAGTTGTGAAGCGGCGGCGCCGTGGTCTCCGATGCGACGCTGGCGACTATGGCGGCTGTCCTGGACCTGGCCGGAGCGTCTCCGACGGCGGCGACAAGCACGCGATGACTGCGGGCATCTCGGGCAGCAAGCACAACGGCGGCCGCAGCGCCGCCGTGTGTGCCGTCAACAGCATGGTCTCGGAGGCTTCCGCGGCGACCGTGGCCGTGTTGGATGTGATCGGGGGCGTCTCCGCTGGCATGGTCACGAACGCGACGGTGGCATTCGGCTCGGGCAGCGAGCGCAACGACAGCGGCAGTCCGCACGCAGGTTGCCGCCGGTAGTAGCGTCAGCGGCGTCGCAAGCGACATCGACAGCAGGGTCTCGTACACGATGGAGGTGACCGTGGCCTTGGTGGATGTGGTATACGTAGGATCACCGTATTCAGACAGCTTTGGGTTTCGTTAGAATTATCAATTCACACTAGATGAAACATTACTTGAGATATTACATTCAACTTAATTGCATATAGCTCTGTTACTAGGGGGAGGACATAGTAACTTCAGTAACGTGTTTTCACCTTGGAGCGTCCTGCTCTGCGAATCAACTGGATATCACCCATGATAGCGGGGAGGCCAAAACCAGCGCGGCCTTAGAGCTTGTGGTGCCAAGTCGAGAGGTTGCTCTTGAAGCCATTGGGGCGAGCGGTGGTATGCGCGCTTCTCGCAAGAGCATGTCCAGTGAGCTTGATCCTTGAGTTGGTCCGCCAGCATATCGACTCTGTCCATAGCTGTGGCTAGATCGGCAACTATGTTGTAGCGTTTCTGCAAGTCAAGGCCTTCCTTATAATGGTTCATGAGGGTGTCGTGTGGTGTGGAAGGGTCCGCCTCCATCGCGATAAAGCGCTCGATATGTTCGTCTTGCTCCTCGCGATACCGCAACAAGTTGGAGTTTATACATTTTAGACGTGCCCGAATTTGCGGTCGCGTGATCAACATTTTCATATCGAATACAAACATAGATATCATTACCCGTAACCAGCCACGATACACATTTTGGCTTACCTCAGACAGCTCCATGCACGTCTCCTGCCAACGCATCATCCAGATAAAGTTGTGCGCACGGTCATCTTCACCGCGACAAATCGCCACGTAGAGGTCGTTCATCTCTTTCACTGGCAGTGCAATTATGAAGTCGTCTATGTCGATCGACGTGCCACATCTCGCTTCGGTTCTCTACAGGTAGGCACTGATTAGCTTTAGCCAAACGTTATTGCGTAGCTACACGAACTTACCCGCTCTCGCCCAGAAGGGGTCACAAATACTGGATACAGATTGTCGAACTCCAGTTGCTCACCGGCGCTACACAAAACCAAAGACTATATATGCGATGAGCATCAGCACGGCCGAAACAATGTCATCACTACCATTTCAAGCGTCTTGGACGATCCGTAAATTCGCCTTCCATCGCTTGCATGCGTCTTCGTTGGTCCTGGCAACTACCCATACATAGCCGTTCGTATTAGCACTAGCATAACAACACGATGCCGAAACAGCCAAAACACGTACCTCTACATTATCCGCGTCCTTCCTGCGATCAACCATCTTTCCACTTGAGCGCAGAATCTAGAATGATGAAGTACTAGAAATCAGCGTTGTTGGGTGGATATGATGGACCGAATATATTGTTATTTGTATGGCCATGTTCGAAGTGTTCAAAGGGACCGAACGTACTAGGCTTTGTATGGGGTGGTTCGACTCATCGTTGTATGTGATGTTAGTATGGTGGAGTTTGAACCCACCGGTGCAGGTTCAATGCCCGCCATGCGGAATGCAGCGTAGCTGTGCTGACAAGGTACCGTGCAAAATGCATCGGATATCGAGTGCGGGATGAATACAGTGTAATTACACAGAGTCATGAATAGTACGAGTACTCAAAGCGTTCAACGGTAACATACGGTACTTAGATTTACTCCAGTATTGCTACCAAATGTAAGTGCAGTAGCGGCTTCGGCATCGTCTCCACAGTTACGTTGACCCATGCAAACCCCATAGTGACGGTCCGAACTACGGTACACGGCGACAGTGGTGACGCCCATCGTAGATACACTGCTGCCAAGTGCCAATGCCGCCTGCGTGTCCCTGTCGCTGGGCAAATTGGGCGCTTGCGACGTCGTCGTCATGGCGACTTCAGGCTCCATCTTGACCCCCGATGGGACTCGAACGCTCCATTTCTAGCGGTAGCCTCTCTTGATCTTTGTCGCCGGTGGCACCCCGCTCCCTCCTGAGGCATCTACGTGCGGTTGTCCGTCGATGAGGATCGCTGGAAGCGAAAAAGGGCGGGAGAACGCCGTCCACCTGCAGGTCTAGTGGGCAGTCGTCCAGTGCCGCCTCCGACGCTCCATCTCGGGGTCCTGTAGCGGAATCTCGGCGTCTCGCAGCTGAACGTGGTTGACAGCCACACCCGGCGGCAATGCCGTGAGGAGAGTTGGGGGCTACGGGACAAACGACACCATCCCAGCGCCAGTTCTAGTAGCACTGCGTTATCGACAACAAATGCGCTGTTGCGGCGGTTGTGCGGGACGTGGTCGTCGGGTGGGTACACGACGGACAGCGAGTCCAACTTCATGCCCGGTGCGTCCCGAAGTCAGCGCGTCAAGTAGCACAGGCGGTCGGCAGCAGCAGATGCGTCGACACACAGGAGCTGAGCGTGTGGCGACTCCAACGACGCTGGACTTGGAGAGTGAGGGGCGAACTGGCAGGCTGGACTTGACCGCAGCGTGCATAGTATCACGGGCAGCCACGCGCCGTAAACGATGGGTACGGCCAGCACATGTGTACCACCGTCGTTCGAGGCGTGGAAACCGGAAGAACGGAGCGTGGTCAGCCAGGGACACTTGGGATCGAGCTTGCAAAATCGGAAATGAGCTCCGATTCGAGAAGGTCATTTTGATTCGGAGCAAGCCGAGCAAGCCGACCAAACAACAGTGGATCGATTTGAACTAATTCCACCAATCACACTTCTTGTTGAACTTTGGCAGCCAATCACTGTCATCGATTTTTCGGAGACAGGTCTTGATTGGTCAAAGCGAAGACATGGAAAAAAATGTCAGCGCGGGAAAGCTTGAAAAGATCAACCAAAGCAAAATGGGCACCAAAAAGGCGAGCCTTTACATGTTGTGTAAACCACTTCAAATACCAATAGTCTATTTATGTGACATTATGTATCGCGACCGCTCTACCCGTTCTCCCTCGCCGAAACGCCCTACCATCGGCATTACCCCAATCATAGTCTTGATGGACCTGGTCGGAAACGTCTCCGCCGTCGGCGACACGGATGCGATGGTGGCGGGCGACTCGGGCAGCAAGCACAACGGCGGCCGCAGCGCCGCCGTGTGTGCCGTCAACAGCATGGTCTCGGAGGCTTCCGCGGCGACCGTGGCCGTGTTGGATGTGATCGGGGGCGTCTTCTCTGGCATGGTCACGAACGCGACGGTGGCATTCGGCTCGGGCGGCGAGCGCAACGACAGCGGCAGTCCGCACGCAGGTTGCCGCCGGTAGTAGCGTCAGCGGCGTCGCCAGCGACATCGAC